GTGGATTAAATAAAATAATAATTTTTTTAGTGGAATCATACCAAATTCTCTAGAACAAATTGATCTAGATATATATAAATTGTACAACTGTAGAATCTTATAATACATACAAAGTATTAATGCACTCATCTGATCTCTTTTAAAAGAATGATGAGCATGAATGTAGAGAACAGTAGTCATAAATGGTGAAAATGTTGGTGTGAGGTTAGGATGTCTTTGGGTGAGGCGACGGTGCCGGTATCATGTGAATAGTTTGTGTGTGTGGCTGTGGTAGTGGACATTTCTCTCACTAGATCCACACTGATACAGATGCCGGATGTATTTGAAATTTGAAACTTGAATTGAATTCAACTTTCAAGTTCGACATGTAAACGGTGACCCAAAAGTCCTGAGTCGATTTGAATATTAAAATTTTCTATCGTGTAACACATGGTTATACATTTATTTCTAGCGTGAAAAGATGCAGAAAAACACGCTCTGTACAATGACTTTTGATTGATCCTACTAGCTCATATAGCAAGAAAATTAGAAACTTAGAAATGTGTCTCACAAAAAATAAAAATTGGGTTTGGATGTGAGATGTAGATGTGGATTCAAACTGTGGATGATGAGAAGTTACACACCTACATCCCAACAATGCAGGAAAATGTCCACCACAATCAGGGTTCGGCATTTGTATTATTTATTGTAATGAGTATGCCGACTGTGCTGCAGAGCAAAAATATTGTGATGGCTATCCTCGTGTGCATAGAAAAAACCTATCTTTCGAAACACACAATACTTATCAATAAAAATAAAACAATTTTTCTTTTGAAAATGCTCGATGTGGGTATATTTGTCAGCTGACGCTTGATAATATAAAAAGTAAAGAATCTTGAAAATATATATACGTTTTGATTCGATCATTTATTTCTATCGCTACGAATGGCTCTACTCAGCCTTGTTCTCATCTTGTGCGTCGCAGGAGCGTCTGCACTAGTTGCTGGTGCTTCGTCTGAACAAAGTTCACGCATGTGTATGATCTATTGTCAATACGGTTTTCGACGTAATACCGATGGACATTTGATGTGTGTATGCAAGAAAAGTCCATGTGACGAGGAAGCAGCTCCACTCGAAGGTTACTTTTGCGGACGTGGTCCCAATCGTCGTGAATGTCCATCAACACATAAATGTACCATTGCACCGAATGATGCTTATGCTGTCTGCTGTCCTCGTGCTCAACAACCACCTGAACGTAATCCAAACAAGCCAGGCGTTTGCCCACAATCATCATCACACCTGATGGGTATTTGTATTGCTCGATGCACTGATGATAGTGAGTGTGAAGGCGAGCAAAAGTGTTGCGGTGGATGCCCTCGTCAGTGTACGAACCCTGTCTTTGCAAAATGAATGAGTGCAATAGTTCGGTGTCATTATTATTATTGCACACAAAATTATCATTAAAAATAAATATTAGGCATAAAATCGTCACCACCACCAGATTAGACTTGTTGTCGATTGAACATTTTGATGGGGTGTGGGTGTGTGGGTATGGGTGTGAGTGTGGGTATGGGGTGTGGGTGTGAGGTGTAGGTATGAGCGTTTGGACCCGTGTGTGGGTCTGGTATGTGAACAAGTCTATTCTTCAGCCACACCCACTGCCATCCCCTACACACTCATACCCACACTCCACACTCACACCACACCCACACCCTATTTATTTGCTTTTAAAAACAAGAAAAATTATGAATTCTAATACCGTATTTCTGATCGTTTCACTATATTATTATATAAAAATTCATGCTCTATTCCGCTTACACTAGTAATTTTTACTATTCCTCATTACGAAAGGTTCATACATTTGTGTAGTAAGAATAAAAAACTCTTGAATGAGTGAAAAAAATATTCGTCAAAAAAAGAAAAGTAATCGATAATCTACGACAAATTACTCGAAAATTCTTTTTATATCAGTTTATGGAAGAAAAAGCCTTGAATTTCCGTATTCAAATTTATTTTACGTTTTTCTCACAACAGCGTTTTTGATTTTGACGTTCTCGTGTATTCTAGATTTTTCTGCCATTTTAAACCCTAGAAAGCTGAGCTTGGAATCAAAATAAAGCCCAAAACCAGTTCTACAACTTAACAGAGCTGGATTTTTTGATTTTATCTTTAACGTTTACTAAAAACTAACCGTTCAAAACAAGACCTATGACAGCTCTCAGTTCTATGAACCGATTCTTTTTCGAGAACTGATCCAATGGTCAGTTCTTTTTTGAGAACTAGGTCTAATCTGCTGTTCTTTTTCCTTTAACGACTGGATTCATTTTTAACTCTTTTTTTTGGGAGAATTGAGTCTCTTTTAGTTTTGCAACAGTAGACGTTCATAATTTCAGATAAACTCCTCAAAAAAACCATTGTTGAAACAGATCACAACGACACAAAAAGCCCATCAGGAGAACATACTATTTCATATCCCAACCACTAGACAGAACGAAAAAAACCAAGACAGAATTATGACACAAACACCCTTTTCTTTGTCTAGTATTGAATAAAAGAGAGAACCATTTTCTCGTCCGTCATTCGAGAGACCTGAATGCTATAACTTTAGGCAAAGCTTTGAGGAAAGAACACCTACACACAATGAGTCGATTTGGCGACGTTGAACATAGTGATAAAAAACTGCCTCCCATCTATGGTTACTGTAGTCAACCACTCGTACCAATACATCAAAAACTTTATAGGCTTCAATGAAATTTATATCAGAAATAGCACAAGCAGTGCTACTAAATGAGGGATTGACCGACTGAAAACGTCTGTCTATTTTCGATTTATGAAATACACACTGACTGTAGATACTATCTATTATAACAGAGTTCTAGCTTGAGCAATTTTGGCGCTGATATTATCGCTGGTCAGAAAAGAAGTTACTAGTCTTTCGACGGTACTTTTTTTTCACATCAGTATTCATACATCGATGAATTTTATTAAGAACGTGCTCATACGTCTGCACAGTAGGATGGTTTGATCCAAGTGCTTGACGCGCATTGTTGAGGGTACTTGTTTGATGTTCGATAGCCTCTTTGCATAGACACAAACTTTTTCAATGCTACTGCTAAGTTGCTATGGATCAAGGCTAATAAAGTATAATCGGATATAACAGTCGCTTGTTGAAGTTCAAGTGCTATTCCATGATAAGATGTATGTTGTAAGTGAGTAGTCTTGGGTGTTGGTGTTAGTGACTGAAGAAGATTAAACCCACACCTACACTCACATTCTTAAAGAATCAAAAGAAACGCATTCCATAGATATAAACTAGAATAAACTAAAAAAATCGGAAGAAACGAACAGCAAAACAAAATTTTGCAGTTGCATATGCCTGTATTTCATGCTTGCAGATCAAGTCTGGACGACACTTAGGGAAGTACTCAAAAGCTGCAAAATGCGTATATGGCAGTCGTAGTCGAAACATAAATAGAATAAATATATTTCAAAGAATGAATCAGCTAATAATGCCATCCGTTAGAATAAACATACGAAATAAAATAAGAAGAAAACACAAAATAAATATGAGAACGATTTTGAATGAATGAAAAATAGGACAAAAAAAGAGAACAGTAAAGAATATTCCTTGGTAAATTCATCACCAGATTCAAATAATGAAAATATCTAGAAAATGTTATTCAATATATTTGTACATTTCATCAATTTGCTTTTGAAAATATTTTGCTAATTCGGATCGTTTTGATTTCATCGTTGGTGTTAAAAGATTATTTTCAACTGAAAATTGTTCAGGATGAAGATAAATATCTTTTGCCTAAGAAAAAAAAAAAACTTTAAGTTTCTCTAAGATCTTCTAAAAGATTAACATACCATTTCAAAAGGGTGTGGGTGGGTGTGGGTGTGGGTGTGGGTCTGGGTGTGGGTGTGGGTGTGGGTGGGTGTGCGTGTGCGTGTAGATCATCTCTTCATTCACACCCACCCACACTCACACCAACACCCACACCCATACCCACACCCACACCGACCCTCACACCCACACACACCCACCCACACCCACACCCACACTCACACTCACACCCACACCCACTCCCACACCCACACACCCACAGCCTATATAAATATATACTTGCAGATATACTTCAGTTAATTGTATTTGATAGGACAAGTTTCACTTGATTAACTTTGCATTAAATGAAACAACATTTTTCATAGGTAGAATGTGTGTGAATGTGGGTGTGAGTGTGGGGTGAGGATGTGAATGTAATATTAGAAGACATTCACACACTCACACCCACATCCAACAGATTTCAAACTAAATTTGACCCTTTAACTGATGAATTTTGGTCTTCGACTGATAAGCTTCTATTGAATAGACATGGAACATTCATTCTAAAGAACTTTCATGGTAGAAAGATAAGACTATACAAGCGATTATTCAGAAAAGATGAGTGTTGACAGTCAGAACAAAAGATTGAAGACAATATAAGAAATATTTGAAGAAAATTCTTATATCGAAAATATCCGATTACAATCTGTTTGAGAATATTTTTCTAAGAACATAACGTTCTCTAGTGTTTCTTCTAAAAACGAGCGTGCAAATCAATATATTAATGGTCATCATCTAGTAAACAATATATTTTGAAAATTATTGTTAAATATAATTTCTAAACTACTGTTTTCATTATTACTGAATGTTTATCTTGTCAGTCATGCATGAGCAATCTGTACTGTCAGTTTAGTATTTTTCATAAAAGTTTTAATTGCATGTCTTAGACCTTCTTTACCAATACCATTGGATTCTATGATGAGTGTGATGAGTGTCTATGTGAAAAATAACGATGAAGATGATATACACGGGTATAGAAATAAATGTACTGTATTATTTTGTAAAGCATTAGCCAAATATTCGGCTCCTTTGTCTCCAATTTCATTATACCAAAGGTTGAGTTCTTGGAGTACCTGTATGAAAAAGGCAAGACGGGAGATGAGAGAGACAAATAGAGGAAGAGATTCACCGTGTTCTTTTCTAAAGCATCAGCCAGATGTTGGGCTCCTTTCTCTCCGATTTGATTTTCTTCAAGGTTGAGTTCTGTCAGTCCCTGCGCGTGAAAAGATAGATACGAAAATAAGAGCAATGAATTGAGAAACAAATTCACCGTATTATTTTGTAAAGCACAAGCCAGATATTGAATACCTTCGTCTCTAATTTGATTCAAATTGAGGTTAAGTTTACTTAGCGTCTGTGTGAAGAAATGTGGATTAAGATGAAAGATATGAAAAGAGAAAGCAGTTTACTGTGTTATTCTGTAAAGCATCAGCAAGATGTTCGGCCCCTTTTTCTCCAATTTCATTGCTACGAAGTTCGAGGTTGGTGAGTATCTGAGTAAAGAAATACAGATGAAAATGAGAGAGATGAAAAAAGAAAAAAGTTTACCATGTTCTTTCGTAAAGCATCAGCAAGATATTGGGCCCCTTCTTTTCCAATTTTATTGCTAGAGAGGTCAAGTGTGGTGAGTGTCTATGTGAAGAGTGAACATGAAAATGAGAGAGATGAAGACAAAAAGTAGCTCACCGTGTTATTCTCTAGAGCATTAGCCAAAAATTGAGCCCCTTGCTTTCCAATTCTGTTGGCATAAAGGGAAAGTTCTCTGAGACCCTGTGTAAAAAAAATTGAAGATGCAAATCAGAAAGATAAAGAGAGTAAGACGTTCACTATGTTGTTTTGTAATGCATGAGCTAAATATTGAATCCCTTCGTCTCCAATTATATTGCAGTCGAGGTGGAGAATGGCTAGTGTCTGTATGAAGAAATACAGATAGAAATGAACGAGATAAATAGAAAAAGAAGTGAACCGAGTTATCTTGTAAACCATTGGCCAGATATTGGACTCCTTGGTCTCCAAACTTGTTCGAGCCAAGTTGAAATGTGTTGAGTGTCTGAATGACGAAGTAAAGATGAAAATGAGATTAAACAAAGAGAGAAAGAAGCTCACTCTATTATATCGTAAAGCATTAGCTAAATTTTGACATCCTTTCTCTCCAATTTTATTTGATCCCATATCAAGTTTGGTAAGTGTCTGAACAAAGAAGTGCATATAGAAATAAATGAAATGAAACAACAACAAAAGAAGATCACTGTATTTTTTTGTAAAGCATCGGCTAGATGTTCGACTCCTTCGTTTAAAATTTGATGGTGTCGGATATCGAGTGTAGTGAGTGTCTATGTAAAGAAGTGTAGATAGAAATAAAAAAGATAATGAGAAAAAAAAGAAGATCACCTTGTTATTTCGTAGAGCATGAGCCAACTGTCGGGCACCTTCTTCTCCAAATTTGTTGTCTATAAGAGTAAGTGTAGTGAGTACCTGATTGAACAAGAGAACATGTACATGAGAGTGATGAATAGAGAGTGAGAGTTTACCATGTTATTGTTTACAGCATCAGCTAGGTATTGAACTCCTACATCTCCGATTTTGTTAAAATTGAGGTCGAGTACGACTAATGCCTGTATAAAGAAGTGTATATAAAAATAAAAGAGATGAATAGGAAAAGACGTTCACCATGTTATTTTGTAAAGCATCAGCCAGATATTCGACTCCTTTATCTCCAATTTCATTGCTAGGAACTTTGAGTGTAGTGAGTGTCTATGTGAAAAAAGTGAATATAAAAATAAGAAAAATGAAGAAAGTAAGGTGTGCACCGTATTAATTTTTAAAGCATCAGCCAAATATTGAACTCCTTTGTCTCCAATTTTATTGTAATCAAGTTGAAGTGTGGTGAGTGTCTATGTAAAAAAAAAAAAGTGAGGATAAAAATAACAGAAATAAGGAAAGTAAGAAGCTCACTTTGTTATTTTGCAAAGCATCAGCCAAATGTTTAGCTCCTTTCTCTCTGATTTCATTATATTTAATGCAGAGTGCTGTGAGTGCCTATAGGAAAAAGTCAAGATGGAAAATCAGAGAGGTGAATAAAGAAAGAAACTCACCTTGTTATTTCGTAAAGCATCAGCTAGATATTGAGTTCCTTCTTCTTTGATTTTATTGTTTCCGATCTTCAGTTCGGTGAGTGTCTGTAAAAAAAACCAAGGATTGAAATGAAAGAGATGGAAAAACAATGAGTTTAACTGTGTTCGTTCGTAAAATATCAGCGAGATGTTGAGCTCCTTTGACTCCAATTTTATTTTTGGAAAGTTTGAGTTTAGTAAGTGTCTTTGTAAAAACTAACTATAAAAATGAAAGAAATGAAGTGAGAAAAAGTTCACTGTGTTTGTTCGTAAAGCATCAGCCAGATATTGGACTGCTTCATCTCCAATATTAGTCGTGCTGAGGTCAAGAGTGATGAGTGTCTGTTTGAAGAAATGGGGATGGAAATGAGAGAGCCGAAATGAGGAAAATCTTACTGTGTTATTTCTTAAACCATCAGCCACAAATTGAGCACCTTCATTACTAATCGAATTGTGCGCCAGCTTGAGCATGATTAGTGTCTTCATGAAAACCGAATATAAAAATGAAAGAAATGAAGTGAGAAAGTATTCACTGTGTTCATTCGTAAAGCATCAGCCAGATGTCGAAGTGCTTCATCTCTGATACTAGTACCGCGGAGATCAAGAGTGATGAGTGTCTGTGTAGAGAAAAGTTGATGAAAATGTGAGAGTTGAAAAGAGTAATAATTTTACCGTATTATTTCTTAAAGCATCAGCTAGAACTTGAGTTCCTTTATCACCGATTGGAATGCCTGCGAGATTGAGTGTGGTTAGTGTCTGTATGAAAAACCAGAAGATAGGAATGAGAAAGGTGAATAGGCAATAGGTTTTTGTATTAGGAAGTGAAGAAAATAATGATGTATGAAAGATGAAATAAATTGTTTCAGCTACATCTAATGGAAGTGGCTATATCCATGTGACTAAATCGGATTTATATACTTTTCACAGGATTCATATGGATTTTCCACATTTTGATGCAAGTCTTGAATACTGGGTTTCGGATTTTACGTCTGGTTTCGCCGTCTAAGATGAGTCATATGTCTCGAAGATAGTGTCAAGTTTTGGAGGTTGAGGATAAGAATCTAATCTTGACTAGTGTTCATATTTTTTGTCTCCTTAATCTATATTCAATGTTCAGCTGAAGAAATGATATACTTGTTCATTACCTTATTTCGTTATCTTATGTATTGTTTCCTATTAAATAATTACTGCGAACATAAATAGAAGTCCATTGTTTTCGATATCATGTAGCGAATAATAGAACCTATCCATTCATCTAACTGGATATGTGTCATCACTCAAAAAAATGAGCCCTATTTGCATACACTTCCGTATTAGAGCTAAATCTCATCTATCAAATGGCACAATATCTAAGTGTATTGTAATTTATATCGGAAAAGAAATGAAATATAGTAGATCATGCACATCTCTACAATTCTATCTTCTAAGTCTCACTAAAAAAAACTTTATGCTCTTACCTTGTTGTTTTGTAATGCGTTAGCTAAATTCTTGATATCTTGATCAGTTAATACAAAACCTGTTAAATCCAGTATTGGCGAACTTCTGTTTTCAAACGTAAGTCCTTCCAAATCCAGCTTCTCATCTTTTAAATCGTTATCTGATTCTAATTTCCGTTCGTTTTGTTGCCGTGGATATTGTTCTTGTTCTATAAAGTGCATATGTTTAAAAATTTCGTGAGACAAGAAAGGAACAAAGAGAAGGAAGAGAGCAAAAGAGTAAGACGAGGATAATTCTAACCATTCTTCTGCCGGGTGTATTTGAATGAGAATAAAACCAACAATGGTATCTTAAAAAACTCGAAAACGGGTCTATTTGAAGTACGAAACTTGAAAAGATGTTGTCTTCCGGGAGACACAAGAGCTTTTGAAGTTTGTGTATCCCACTCCTATAAGTTGTGATATACAAATTGCAAAAGTATTTTTATCTTCTTACCAGTGTTCCTTTCCACATGGTGAGCTTCTCTATCTCTTCTCTTTTCCTGTTTGTACCTTTTTCCATTTGTGCTTGTTCCTATCTATCTCTTTTTGTTCACTATGATCCATTTTACTCTTTCGTTTCCTTCTCATCATATTGTCTTTATTTTATTCCTCTCTTCGTTGTTCTGTCGTTTCTCACGATGTAAAGTTGCCTCTTCTCTTTGTTCAATGCGATATCTTCTTCGATCGTATATAGTTCTGTCTTTCTGATGGCGTCTCTTCTTTTCGTTTTCAACTCTAGACATATTTACATGTATAAATGTGTATACTTCCGTTCGCTCTTGGCTCTTTCTACTAGAAGCTTTTTCGAACCTGAAAAGACTTTATAAGCCAATATAGAGTTTTTTTTGTTTCGTGCGTTTTTATGTGAAAGTTTTTCCTTTAGTATGAAGAATTGTACGACATACTGTAGTATATCTATGGAAGGATTCGTCTTTTTTTTCCAGTTCACAGAAGATCTGGTATGATTGCGCTGAGTAGCATGATTTTTCGACCAAAAAATCATCTAGGTTCGGGTAACTAGGACTCTTGACAGAGAGCAGATCGAGTCCAGATTCGCATATATCCAAAATATTAGATCTTAATATTGTAGCATACGAAAAAGTATCAGAAACATACACTGTCGATTATGATCTTGATAGATATATTCAATACGTGTTGACTTGCATAATCAATACTACTTTTTCATATGTTTTATGAATAGAAAAGACTGATATTAATAGTAATAGGTGTAGTCAGTGTTTTTCTCTGTTATATGCCATTATGTGAAGCTTTCAATGCTTATTATTAGAGACATAAACATATCATGATTACTTTTAAATTATAGTGGTGGTTAGAAGTTCGTTTTAGGATGGACAATTTTTTTTTGGCTGAAGTTAAATCATTTTTGTTGAAGTTTTTAAGAGAGACATAGATTGGAAGAGAGAATTGGAGACCAATTCGCTGACTAAAAAACGAAGTTACAAGTCAAATAGTACTTTGAACTTGCCTGGTGTTAGTGTTGATGTCTAGCAATTCTTTGCTAATTTCATTAGTCATTTGCAAAAACTTTCCTTCTCACAACTTTGACATGGACTTCAACGAAAGTGGTCAGACGCTGAAGAGAGATTATGATTTCTACATTCTTATTGTAGTTTTGAGGAAGAACGATCTTGCAAATGACTAATGAAATTAGCAAAAAATTGCTAGACATCAACACTAACACCAGGCAAGTCCAAAGTACTATTTGACTTGTAACTTCGTTTTTTAGTCAGTGAATTGATCTCGAACTATCTCTTCCAATCTATGTCTCTCTTAAAAACTTCAACAAAGATAATTTAACTTCAGCCAAAAAAAATGTTGTCCATACGAAAACGAGTGTCTGACCGCCACTGTAATTCAAAAGTAATCATGATATGTTTATGGCTCTAATAATAAGCATTGAAAGCTTCACATAATGGCATATAACAGAGAAAAACACTGACTACACATATTACTATTAATATCAGTCTTTTCTATTCATAAAACATATGAAAAAGTAGTATTGATTATGCAAGTCAACACGTATTGAACATGTCTATCGAGATCATAATCGAAAGTGTATGTTTCTGATATTTTTTCGTATGCTACAATATTAAGGTTTTATATGTTGGACATCTATTTATTTCGACTTGGCCTAGTCTCTATTAAAAAATATGGTGATCGTATTTTTCACAAAAAATCTGTGCAGAAGTGTAGGCATTGTTGAGTCTGATAAAAGTGCTTACCCATTGAAACGTTTTTTTGTCGTTATCGCGGAGGTACTTTCTACTGAGTGTTCGCGATCGTTCGTTGAGAAAACAAATTATGTGCAATGTTGTGTTCACAGTAGAAATTGCAAATGATTTATGTCAAGGAGTGACGATGCTTGATGAGTAAGCTTTTTTTCTCATGCTATTGCACAGTAGCTGTAGAAACTACTATTTTTTTCTGTCGTTCTGTTCTCCTCTATTTTACTTAATCAGTCTGTTTGTACGATGTTCGTTAGGCAAAATGATGGCAAAAACAGCAGAAAAAACAGCAATTATTCATGTATTATAATCGTTGGTTTTCGATCAATAACAAACGATGTGGCATCCAGGTTTGTAAATTTTTCTTTATAAAGAATTTGCGCATACACACTACTGCCTGCAAGCGAAAGTGTTTTTTTTATACGTGAAAGCGAACAGCGAGACCTACGACATTCCAAGAGAAAGAAGAAAAAGTAATACTCAATGAACCATTCGCTGCTTACTCATCCTTTGGTTCGAAATTAGACACAGTTGAGAAGATCATTCCAATCAAACTTCTTGCTTTCGTTAGAAAAAAAAATGAATTCATTTAAATAGAGATGTTTACATTTAACGTTTTCACTGTTTTATATTTGCTTTTCAAAAGTTTGAGAAATTTTCTTTTAACAAAACAAAAAGTTAGGTTACAAAGTCACGTTATTTTCGATGACTCTTACATTGTATATTATCACGAATGAATAAGAAACAGATTTATTTTTGCAGCAACTTGATTCGGGCCATAACTTCATATAAATGCATGAAGAATCACACATAGAAAGATCGTTGTATACACTTGCTGAAGAGTCATATTGAACGTATTTTTTGAAAGAATATGAAGTTCTCTTGGATTCTCGAAAAATGCGTTGAATATAATTCTTCTGGAAGTGTAAAGAAACGTTTGCAAAATAGCTTTTCATAGGTAATTCGATACGTTCTATCAGAAAAAAAGCAAAAATTCTACATTCCGCTCACCAAGATGAGCCTTTTTCCTGTTCAACCCTTGTGGGATGACTGTGGAATTTTGCTCATAGGAAGTGGATGTGGCGGATGTGGATGTAAGGCGTAGCTATCAGTATGGGCATTGGTGTTTGTATCAGTTTTGGTGTAGGTTTGAATAAAGAGCAGATATGCACACACCCACACCCAGATTCAGCATTTTCAAAAATCATCTGATAACTGAAAAGATACGTCCGAAAATCCTTTCGGATATCAACTCAGTTTTTCTGGCAATACTAGTTTTCTATAATACATTCAGGGTTTTTGAAAATACTAATAAGCTCGCAATAGTACGAAAAAGGTATTCTAAAATATTTTTCATATGCCGAAGTCGATATTGTCGGAAACCTAAGGGTTTCTGAACGGAGGGTGTGGGTGTGGGAGGTGGATGTGGGTGTGCGTGTCTCCCTTTTTCTTTGCGACATCTGTTCCAACACCCACACCCACACCCGTAGTGAATGGATTATTTCTTATTTTTTGTTTTCTCTTTAGGTTCTACCAGTTCTTTTTCAACATTTATCTCTTCGTGAAGGTTTTGCTGAAGTTACTTCGGTATTCGCATGTCTCACTTTACTTTTCGAACAATATTTTACTTAGGTATCACTTTTCTGTTTCAATCATTATTTGATTTTTGAAATTGAATTGATGGATTGAACCATATCTTCCGACATGTGTCGAAATGGCAACATCAATAATCGATGATGAACGTGTGCTACCTGGTAAAATTGTTTGTCTTTGTTTTAATTTGATATTTATTGAATATTTAGATGGTGTTTCGGTAATTCGTGAATTTCTGCGTTCAATCTATACAAAACATATTGTTACTTTTGTTCAAGTGATGCAAACATTGAATGAATCATTACGTGTTATTGTTATCAAACATCTTTAAACCAATTAATAGAAGCAATTGTTTAACTGTTAATCAATCTTGTTTTTTGATTTCAAAAAAAAAGAAGAAAATAAAATAAAAGATCAAGTTTGTTTTTTCTGAAAATGAATTGATTTTATGTTCGAACATTGATCGATATGCTTCATTTGATGAATATAATTATTAAGCACAGCTAGCCATAAACAATAATTGCCTTCAATTTGTCGTTTTTTCCATTCAAATATGTATCAAGATAAGATCCAGATGTAACAATAATTTTGTTAAGCACAGTTGTAAAACTTTACTTTCATTCTCTTTTCTATTAGAATTGTACATATCTTAAAGATTACATCTGATTGTATGAATCTCAGAAAATATAATTATTTTTACTTTAGGTATTAATGCTTATTATTACTCTACATTTATTTTACAGATTTATTAAATGAAAATGTTTCTATATGTGAGGTTAAAATCTCTAGTCTATTTATTTCAAAATAATTTCAAATTACATATAACAATAAGACATGTTCTAAACAACTAAACTTTTACCACCATATATATAAATCATCTTCAACATAGTCAATAAAATAATGATCAAGCAAATTTTCACATTTAATTAAATTATATATGTCTTGTATACATGCTATTTGCATATCTGAAATATTTAGAAAGAATAAATCTTGTAATTGTCCATGACATTTTGTTAGTAAAAAGCGAATCATTTGTTTAAGTTCTCTTGTTCCAATATGAGTTTTAAGATATTCTACTCTTGGAAGTAAACCAGCAACTAGTTCAAGTTGTTTAAATGAATATTCATTAAGAATATTGAGAATTTTTATTTTATTGGTCTTTGATACAAATTGAAAAGTTTCACTTTCTTGAATTGACTTGATATCAGTTTCATTTCGAAGGGAAAATTCAAATTGTAGCACACTTAAATTACGTGTAAAACATAGTAATTTCACTATTTCTTCAAAAGGAAAAATATAATGACCAAAATTTAATCGAGTAAGTTGTTTCAAAGGAAGCAA